GAACAAGTAGGTGTAAAATCCAAACAAGTAAAGTGCCTAACTAGCAAAGAGGGAGTGTGTACTCTCGGTAGCCTTGTATGACATCAGGATGTTAACAAAGGAAAACACTTGGTATATCTGGGAATAGCAAATATGTTTTTTAATGGAGGGACGATTTCCATTGCTTTACTGGTCTTCTCCTGAAAGCAGCAAAAGAGATAAGGGAACTAATGGGCCAGATCATCAAAGAACTAATTATCTTATATTTTAACTGGAATCCACCTGGCAGTCGCAGAAATTAAACTAAACCACTTGCGGTTATTAAGGACATTTGCCACTTGCATAGAGATAAAGAGGTTATGGGGAGAAGAGCATGGTGCTCTTGAACAGCTGACAGTCATTCCTGAGACTGGTAGTGGTGTGAAGCATTGGGCGCTGCCGAGTGCTGTGGCAGTCGGTCATGCCAAAAGGACTTCCCTCGCAACTTGCATAGGGAACGCAAGTCTTCAGGGCTAAGAAGTTTGAACTTGCGTACTAAAACTGTTCTTGGACTTCATGCAACTCCATTTGGATAATAAAGCAATGAGGCTTCAAACTGTTCTGGTGGGATTTCTGTACTTTTCTAAGACAGACAGCCTGGCTTTAACAAAAAAAAAAAAAAAACCTACTAAACTTAGTAGAGGCCTTTCTTGCTTTATTTTACAGTCTAATGCATAAAAAGAGCATTATTTTAACTGCGTATAGTGACTCATGCTAACTCTTAGTCAGCAAGGCTTCCTGACAGTGACAGATAGGGTAGCAGCAATGAATCTGCTGACTACATGCAGGCAGAGGTTATTAATCATGCTTCACAGAAGTCTCTCCCTTCTGGCAGCTTCTTTACTGCAGAATGCAGGGGGCTGTTTCAACGTATATCTAAAACGAAGGCAGTTTCTCTATGCATTTGGGAAGACCCTTCTCTCAGATTCTCAGGAATAAGATCCTTGATTCCCCCACCTGTTGGAAGATGTGATCTTTCCTATAGCTTAGGACCAAGTTTCAGTCTGGAGTTCTGCTTCTGAGTTCAGATCCAAGCTCAGTGCTGAAGTTACTGTAGAAGCGTCTCGGTATTGATAGCTGCATCTTTATTCTTTCCTTGACATAAACCTCTTTAATGCTGCTGGTCATATGCCAAATCTTCTGATTGAGCTGGCTATGTCATCTTCTGTGCTCCACACAAGCAGGGGTGTATGTGTGATTTTTAAATTCTTCTGTTTCTGAATGATTTGTTTACATTGGCAAAGAATTGGCATGGAGGCTTCAACTGTGGGGACCCCAGGGAGCTTGAGGTGCATGAGCTTCTGAATGTCCTAAGATTTTTGAAGTAGTCCTTGAGAATTATATCTGGGTGGGAGAAGGGGAGATGGCAGTGCAAAGCGAGGAGAAAAAATGATGTGGGCCTGAACACTGAGACTTGCACAACAAAAAATTTGGAAAGTACAACGCTAAAGAAGTGATAGAAGTGGCATGAAGGAGAGTAAAGAAGCCTATAGGCAAAAAAGGGTAATACAATAATTGGCGAACCTAGTTGTTTTTATGTTTATTTTGCTTGTGGCCAGTACCAACTTGCTCACCTTGTTTGTGCTTGTTAGCATTTCCTAGGCTGTTCTGTATGTGTTGTTTTAAAATAGACAAGGTGAAGAGTTGGATAACATGCAGAAAATCTAATTACAACAAGCAGTAATTCTCATTTCTTTCAGGTCCATATTTAAGCCTTTTATTTTTGTTGATGATGTCAAATTAGTACCAAAAGTGCAGTCTCCTTCTTTTGGTGATGATGATCCTGCTAAAAAAATACCTCGATTCCAGGAGAAACCTGACCGCAGGCATGAATTATACAAGGCACATGAGCGGGCCCGATCTGTCCTTGAGAATGATCAGGTAAGAGCTGTGGGTCCTGGAACCTTCTATAATCTTGTAGAGATTTTCTTAAACCTATTTGTAAAAGATTTGCTCACAAAGAAACAAAGATTTTGAATAGTTTCATGACCTCGATTCTTTCTAGTAGTATTTTCCATAAAAACACTTACAGATCTAATTTAAGGAAATAAATGTAGATTCCTAACTTCATAATTTACTTTAAGGTAAAGAAATGAAAAACAAGGATACAACCTGCTAAATGTTTTTCCGTGCTGTTGAAATCCTGAAAGAGTTCTCTGAATATTCTTAGAATTCTTCCAGGTTCATCCTGAATAATGATGCCTTCTGCAGGGGAAACCGTTCCACATAGGTTTGTTTTTTTTTCCCACTTATCCTGTGATCGTTGCTGTGCTCCATCACTTTCAGAAAGTGAAAAGTTATAAACTGATAAGCTGATTAACTTGTTCATACATGTGGCAGCAGGAGGAGAGATGGGGAAGCTGCAGGAATTCCCTACAAAGTTCAGCACGTTGTTCAGTACCCATTGTGCACTGAGTCTTTCTAGCTGATTAATGGATCCTAGTCCAATGAGGTATATAGAATAATTTGCATATTACAGTTTTTATAAGTCTCAGTTTAGTGTGTGTATTTGTATTATTTTGTGAGAATTTAACAAATTTAAATGACATACAGGAAGAAGGGACGTTTTCCACTGCCTTGCAACAAGTACCTGAGAACTGAAAACCTTCTAGCATAAAATCCTTATGGAAATTTTATGCTCCTCTCTGCTCCCTTTTTTAAGCTATTCAGCTTTTTATTTAAAATACTAAATACCTTTTGTACTGTACAACAATGCCTAGGTATATGGGAAGGAGGAAGTAAAACAGGGAGAGAACATGCAGGACAAGCCACTCATGCCTGTATTAGTATTTCAGGCAAGTTGAGCTTTCACATCACACTTGCTTTTCTGCAGTATTCCTGTGGAGCAGGATTGACCGCATGTTTGAATAGGTCAGAGACTTGCTGAGATCATAACACCATTCAGACTTGTCCATTAGCAATCTAGAAAACCATGGTAACCTCTGCTAGCAGGACCTTCATTGAAATGCAGTTTTGGCTAGATGTGGTTTTAATCCCTTAGAATGGTTCAATTTAAAAACTGTTGCCTCTATGGTAACATTGAGTCAACGTGCAACTGTCTCCCATAGCGTTTCTGAGTTATGTGAGATGTTGATTCAGGGAAACCTGGAAGGGAATATCTACAAGGGGCGTTTTAGCTGGAAGGCTCTTCTCTATTAAAACAAAAAGCACTGGAATGTGGCACCAAAAGTTGTGTTTAAAAAGAGAATTGTAGTTTTAGCCAGGCTTTATGCTATAAAAACTGGCTAGCGGAAAGCCTAAAGCTTAGCTGAGGTGCCATGCTCTTTCTGCAGAAATGCCAGTCTGAAATCCTGGAAAGCTCAGAACCATCATTTGTTCTAAACCTCTTGTTTCTAGAATTCAATTTTGAAAGCTGCAAACAAAACAAACAGCACTTCTCCATTAAAAAACACACCCACCCACCCACTCACCCACCCTGAAGAAATTAAGAAGGCTTTAGGTAAATTCTGGATAAAACAGAACGATACCTTCTTCAGGAATAGATTTCCTACCCAGAAACATGAAGTAAGCCAGAATGACGCACAAAGCCTTCCCTGGTATCTGGAGTCTTACTGCTGTTCCATTACACATAGCTTCAGATCTAATCATTATCTTTCAGGTAAAGATGGTGGTGATCTGAGGGATACTTGTGTGCATCCTATGATCCGTACAGCCCTCAGGGCTTTTAGTCCTCTCAGATAGTTCTGTTAGCTGGCTTGCTAGCTTAAGGGGTTGCTTTACTTCCTTCTCATGTGTAAAATCCTTATACCTTTTTCTGCTCTCCATCTTTCCCTCCCTCTTCCTTCCCTGCTCTAAACAAGGCAACTGCTGCTTTGTTATTGCTCTTCATGTACAAAATGTCAAGCACTGTTGCTCTTAGCCTCTGACTGTCCAAAAAACTGTTAGAAGAAACTGTCTGTATTCAAAAAGGCTTCCTCATCTTTAAAAAGACTTGAAAGGTCCCCATAATAAAAGTGAAAAGTAAGAATGCTTAATGGGCTAGTTTACTAGTTAATTCAGTTTGGTCATCTCATGCCTTTAGGATAAAGGGCAGAAGCTGATGAGGATTATGTTAGACCTTGAAAAACAAGGCTTGGAAGCAATGGAAGATATCCTTACTCGCACAGAGGTTCTGGATGCTGCTGAAGTTGTGGATCTTTTCTATGACTGTGTTGACACAGAAGTTAAGTTCTTCAAATGAAGTAAGCAAACATTTTAATTCTTTAGATGCTGAGTTTCTGGTACCAGCAGGTATCAGTGAATGCAAGATGTTGGATCTGATTCTGAGCATCCTCTCCCTCTTTTACACCAACCTAAGGGTGTGTAGGATCAGGTCCAAAGCATCCTTTCTCCCTCAGTGCATCTCACTGGATTGACCCAAAAGTCCCTTTCCCCTGTTGTATTGCGGGCAGTTTTTTTGTTTGCAGTTTCACTGTTGCTTGGAATCGATTTTAAACCAATGTTATCTCGTTTCAGCCATGGATACTGTTAGCCTTTTCACAGGAAGACTGCAAAGCCTTGAAAGAAAGTCTTCACACTTGTGAATTTGCAGGAAAAAACATTTCTAGAGGAAAAAATGTTCCTTGGTAGCGGTATCTGGCTAACAAATTGCTTTCCTTTGTCCAATCATGTGGTGTTTCTGTTTGTGTGTATGTCTGTATAGTGAAAGGAGAAAGTCACTGACTGGTCCAATTACTGTGTGCATGCTGGCTAATTTAGTACAGAATGTTTAAATATGTATGTTGGGCAACCAATTAAAGCAAAGATTAACTTCATCAGGGTAACTGCCATATTGTCATTGAAAGCAAACTTTTTTTCTCTACTGCTCAGGACTAGGCTTGCAGCAAAGCTGACATGCATTGTATTTTTCTTCTGTTTTTGCTAATTCTTACAAAGAATGATAGAGTTGAAATCTCTGTTTTAAAGGGGCTGGGAGGCAAGTCCTGGTTCTTGAACTTGCTGTACTGGCATATCTGATTGTAGTGACTCTGCGTCTGACATCATGCCTGTAGAAATGACCAGATTTAGGTCCTCTGGGTGAAGTTTTGCCTTTACCTGCTCCCAACTTCCTTTACCTGCTCCCAACTTGAGGAAGTAGCTTGCGTGTTTGTAACACAGCTGGCTACTGCTCCAGTGCTGGGTATGGCAGGCAGAGCCATTCTGGACAGCTAAGGCAACCACGTATAACCAAATGACTCTTAAGGAACAATTAATAACGTACTATTTATATACGAGCTACAACTCTGGAACATTTTTGAGGGAATAGATGCTGGGCATTGGTCAGCACCTGACTATGACTACTGTCCCTGTTTCTGTCTTTGTACTGCTCAGCAATTCCTGGTGATCTCAGTGGGAAGCATACATGGCTGAGGAGTACATTAAGTGCTGGTGAATTAATGATGAATGTGGCAATCCAGCTGGTTAAGTTTAGGATTGGCTGTCTGTCTTTACTTCCTTATCTCAAGTGCAATTCTGCAGCATGCTTACCTTCCTTGACAGATGGACTTGATTTTTGTGTGTTTTCTCTTCCAGAAGTGAGATGGGCAAATACTTTAAGAACGAAGCTGAGAAACACTCGGTCCTGTGCCCTATTCTTTTTTTAATGGGAGGAGGAACAGGCAAGAAGTCAATGTTTTTAATAGGTAGAAATTAGCATATGGAGTTCCAATCCATCCTTGTTCAGGAAAGGGGATGGTGACAAACCACAGACTTTTAAGGAGGTAAAAGTTCCTCTAGAAGGCAACAACACCTCAACTTGAAACTGTGAGGGAGTTGTACATTAGGGAAATACAGGCACTGTGGTATTGTCACACTGAATTCTCAAACACTTCTTTATGAAGTTGTTCTGTTCAGACTCATTATTTCAGTATTGCCTTATATGACAATACTGACAATTGGAAAAGAAAGTATTGAGCCTGTTTAACTTGCAGAAAGTAAACATGAAGTTGTGTTTTTTTTTTTTCTGATGGCCTGCCTAATTACCTTCTCACACAAGGTGCCCCTCCTATGCTCTCTACTGTAGCTGGCCAGATCTTACTCATTTCAGCTTTTATGCGTAGGTATCCTGAAACTGGAGACAAAGGAATGAGAAAATAGGCAAATAAACCCTAAAGCTTAACTTCTCTCTTTCTGACCAGAATAGTGACTGCAAGGAGTACGCTCCATTTAAGAGGGTGATGAAGTCTGCTGAAAGAGCAGTGTGCTTTGCTACCTGTCCACAATTAAGTGTATGGATTTCCCAGGAGATCCACTTGTGGAATGAAAGGGTGCTTTTAATGCAAATAGTCCTAATGAGAGTTTATTTAACACATGGCAAGTTGAACTTTACAGCTGCCTCTATAGCTGTGGCTTCCTGAGAGCTCAGCGTCCTGGTAGGAGTAGCTCGGTATTTGTGAACAAGGAGAGAACACGGACAAAATGATTGTCCCAGCCAGAGGACAGAGATTAGGATACGTTATTTCACACTGTTCTTCTGCACAATTCAAGCCTTCCAACCTGGCAAGATGCATTAGGAGGGTGTTCCAGCTACCAACGTTATAGATCTTATTTGCCTGCTTCTTAAGAGAAGAAACACAAACATCTGCAATCAGCTTGTGCGAATTTGTCCTTATTGGGAACTGTTCATATGACAAAACTAAAATTTATTTTGGCACAGTGATCCAGGCAGTAAGTTTCTAGCAGTATGTTGCTTTTGCTTCAGTTGTATAGTGCATTTAAAAAAAAAATAATAATAAAGAGTGGGCTATAGCAACATGCCTGAGTGCAATCACTAGTCCGACAAGTCTGAGAAAACCAGAGCACCCCCCTGGCTTGAAACTTCCTCTGGTCTTAACTTGAGCACAGCTGTGGCTCAGAACAGCACAAGCGTGTTGGGTAACAGTGGGACTAACTCCCACTGGGTTACAGCCAGTGTGAGTCCCTGTACATCCAGGTACTAGCAGCTTCTGAAGTTTCAACGGATCCTCAACAAGGGGGATCCAGTATGTATTAAATAACACTTCAGTAATATTACATAAGCATTTTTAACATTTGCAAATGTGCACAGGCTTTCCAGTTTAATCTCTAAAAGATGATGTTCGCTTCTAAAATACCTCTTATCATAATAAAAACAGGATTAAAGTTTTTCTTCCTTTAATGTTCAGACCATCTACCAGAAGATATCTGAATAGCTTTAAAGTCCTTACAAAGGTAGTTATTACACAGCTGTATACAAGTTCCAAATACAGATGAGAACCAGCAATAAGTCACTTCTATTAGTACTGTAACAAAGTTCTTCGATGCAATATTAAACTTTTGCAGTTATTTAAGAGAAGCAATGTATGTGCTGACCCCTGCTTATTACCATATTTCATGCATACTGATCAAGTAACTATAATACAGGTGGAAGAAAGTACTGGTCAAAGCATCACTACTTTCTTTTTTCTTTTCACGTGAAGAACAGCGAGGTATCATGATAGACTAGAAAAAGATTAATGACACTTTAGCGTCTTATAAGTGGAAGAGCTTCAAATGCTTTTTACCCTTACACCATGACCACACCATGAGCATGCATGTAGGTGCAGGAGTCACAGCATAGCGGAGCTGTTGCAAGGACTAAGACAAAAGCAGAGATGTAAGGCTGCGGTTACCTGTCTCTTCCAAATACTGCTGCTCAAAGATACGGCAATGGGGAAGGATCTTTACCTGTCACCTATGTTTATTACAGCTGCTGCTGAGAGGGATTTAAATTATGTAAATAGTATCTGAACCTTAAATAGCCTGACTGTAATATCAGGCTTATCCTGAAACAGCAGTGCCATTATTCAAGCTGGTGAACTAGTCACACTCTGAACTACCCAGGAAAACTATAAGGGAATATTTTGCTAGAAACAGCAAAACAACAAACCTTACGTCCAGTTCTGAACACTGCTGATCTAAAGACCTCACCTCCAGCTACTCATTAAAAGTGGAAGCTCAAATCTTGTTCCCTGCTAGGCTGTTATTTTCTCAACCAACTCTATTCAAAGAAAAAAACCACTTAGTGGATTGCTTGTTCCATGTGTTGTTTTTGACAAGGAATCCTTATTGCTGCTCAATATGAGTGAAAAATAGTAGCTTCACTTGCTTTTCTAAAATGTAGGTGTTGGGCTTCTTAGACAGGCTCCAAAGGCCTTTTTCTCCTTGTTGGGTAAAGACAACTTGTCACATTCACAGTTACTATCCACCTTGCCAGAAGCAAAAGACGCATGCCCTTCTATACACACTTCATGGCATGTGTATGTATTCACACTCCCCCACCCCCCCCCCTTTTTTTGCTTTCAGTAGAAGAACTTCCTCTTCATTCAGTTTGGAAAAATTCTGTTGTCTTTGTCGATTCCACAACCACTCAGCCTAGCTGGGCTTCTTCAGACATGTTCACCATCCTCTAAGGCTGTGTGATCAATAGGAGGTAGGCTCAAGAGCAGCTGCAACCCATCGTCATCTCCTTCCTCTTCGTGCTTGGTGAGAAATGGATTGTGGGCCCATCTGTTCATGAAGGTGCCATTCTGCTGCAATTTGAGGATAGGCAGAATACAAGAAGCGAAGAAATATACAAAGAGACTAAGCATATCACATTAGTTTCTGATAGTTCATTGAAAAGTATCTGAAAAATAACTGGAAGATTTTCAAAATAAAAAATGATGATGGAGGGGGAAAAAATGAACTACAGCTATTTAATGCAAAAAAGTATGCTTGAGGTATCATCTGTCAGCCATGACTAAAATGAGAATTGCTTGAATACTACAAAGAATTTAAAGCTTAGGATGCTTTGCTTAAAAAATATCCACGTATATGCAAGAATTTAAAAGCATGTGCTAACATTCCTGTGGTGCACAGGCTAGTTCAGAAAGTGTCATTTAAATTTCTCTTCCAGTTTACAGAAACGTTAACATTGCAGCACTTGCGACTCAAATATGATCTCTATCATTGTAAAGGGGACCCCCTTCTGTTTCATCTATCATCTTGATGTTCTCCATTTTTAATACCAATCCAGAGAGCATCAGAAGACTCTTCTCATCTCACATGTGTTCTTAACGGAGGATTTTTAGAGGGATCTGTAAACAGATAGGACAGGTTTAATCAGAGGAAATAAATACATATTTTGAATACATACTTTGGATGTAGTTCCACAGCAGCTAAAACAATCAAGTAAGGGATACTGCATTTATCTCCTCCTGCCCTTGAAGTGATATATATTGCTCATGCACTGTAGCAATTTAGTTTAAAAAAAAAAAAAAAAAGATCATCTTGCTATACAGATCATACAGGTGCAATGGCAGGGAGTGGAACGACAGCAGCTGATTTGGACTGACTTAAGCTGCTATGAAAAGAAACGCAAGTACATCCACAGGGAAGAACGTAATGTAAAGTTGGCAATAAATAGTTGATCTAGTAATAAAGAAAATACAGGGCAGAATATGGGCATGAAATCTTTTGATACCTTCAAATGCCAGTTTTCAAAGCTGGAAGTGTGAAATTCTGCTCTTCCCACAGTGACCTGATACTAAGTTTCTAAGCTAAGCACAAACAAAGCAAGGTTCTGTCATTCCCTACTTTCCTGCAGAGGTTCAGGTACTGAGTGCCTTTGTTATTCAGGTATGTAAAACACCATGCTTAGGATTTAAATCAAAACATGTGATGGAACATGTGGATCAAATATAAAATTTCTTATAGGTATACGGTAGAACAAGCTTTCTTTTGTGATTTCACAAGGTTATGAACAGATAAACCCACTCACTACCAGGCTAAGTCTGTTTATATTTAATTGTTTTCAACTTCAAGGACCTCCATAACTTTATGCAAAGAATACAATTAAACTACATGTCAACCCACTTCCTTCTTTTTTTTGGTACAACATTTTAAAATGAAAAACACTTCACTACTGTATCTCTAGTCTTCATTACCACTGTAACAAATCCCACTCCTCTTTGTATATATGTTAGCAACTGGTAGCAACCAGTTGTTCGTATTAATACTGGTCTGCGTCCTTTATTTTCACTTCCTGTTTTTAATGCTGTTGGATAAATATCAGACCTCCTCATGTTTACACACTTACCTCTAGCTATCTTGCTGGGATAAATTTTCCGAAATTGCTTGAATTCATCAGGTGGGGGGAAATCTTCCACAGAATGGAAGGTAAATTTAGATTCAAAGTCATCTGGCAAGTTTCAGAGAAACAAACATTAGTCTTTGTTAAATAGTTATTAAACAAAAAAAGTGCCACAAGTAATTTCAATTCAAAATGCTGAAGAATTTTTCCCCTGCATTTGATAGTGGCTCACTCCAGGTAAGCCATCTGGAAGGGTACTTTTGTGAGCCATCCCAGTTTTCTGGCTCAGATTGCACATGCTATCCTGGTACTAACTGAAGTAAAGCTTCTGGCTACTATTACACTTTTCTGCACTGATGATATTGTGGTTAATTGATATATTCTTAGATGGTTTTTAGAGCACTTCTTTAGTTACAATCAAGAATGAATAGCCAATTCATCAGATCCCAAAGCAGTTCTTAACAGTCTCCATTCTATAGGATTGAAGCTACTAAATGTCCATGAACTGTTTTTAAGGGTAGTAATGTAAGCACACTATAGAAACTTTTCACCATCTTAAAGAAATTTACAGGTAGTACGTGCTCTTCTTCGCTATTGGATGGTTCAGGACATTTGTGCGAAAGCCTTAATATTCTCTCCTTGTATAGGGCTGCACAAAATGTTTCTGTGTGTCTAGTTATGCTACACTGTTCTTGTCATGAGAAAGAGCTGAAAACGTTCTTGGTAGGTCTGAGACACAAGCTTTTGTACTTTACTTTAATCATTAAACTAAGACTAAAAGACAACCTTATTTAGATAATATTACCAATGATATTCATATTTCCATTTTTAAGAGGTGGATAAGGGTCATGAACTGTTGCCCAGGCTGAGACGCCAGACTTGCTTGAAAGTTCAGTTGTTGGTGATCTTGCGGGTGGCTGTGGAGGGGTCGTTAGCTTCCCAGCACCAGTTCCTTAAAGAGAGGAAGCAGAGCAGCACATAAAGACAGACCATCATGATTTAACAAAACCAATAGTAAGCGTTGCCCAAAAACTTACTTACAATGTAGAAGGAATGCAACACTTCATGCGAGCTTACCCACTAAAGCTACTATACAGTAGCGGCTGTTTGCCAAGCCTGGCCATGGATTTATAGCATCAACTTTTAAACTTAAGTCAGTCACCGTTTGAGCTGACTGGAGTGTGCTATTTCTAGTTCTGGGGAAAGCCTGACAGTTTTTGAAATTTGCTTTTGTCCCATTCTGGAGGGGAAGACTATTTTTCAACTTCCAGATGAACAGATTTCTTCCAGAAAAATCACTAGGTGGTGTCCCTAAAACAAAATCATTTCCTGGCACTCCAGCAGCTACTCAGTAGAATCACCATTATTCTTGTGCATTTCACTCAGCAGTTGCAAGGGCCTTGAAGGGGGCCTTGAAGGTTTTCATCTTCTTTGCAGCCCTACCATATGAACTGCCTAAGGGCAAGGGAGCCCAAGGCCTCCAAGGTAGCTCCCTCCCAAAGCTGCCTGCCTTTTCCGCTAGACAGCCAAGAGAAAGGCAGGCTAATCCGATGGAAACATCCATCAGGAACAGGCATTTTGACAAAATAATGAGTTCATTAGGCAATTCCTGAGCATCATTAATCGCCATCTCTAAGCACCTGATCTCCTGTACTTACATGGCCTTTCCCATTGCTGTCAAAGGGACCCAATAATCTTTCTTTTGATGTGTGGCTGCTAAGATGCAGGGTACAGAACATACTCTTCTGACGTTCCTTATTAAGTCGCTGTCTGCATTTCTCGAACCCACACACATTTAGGCTCATTTTTTATTATCTTCATTACAGAAGAGAAGTCTGAGAAAGTTCCTCTTGCCATCTGCTCAAAGACAGACCAGCTAATATCCCCACTTCTCAAGTAATCACAGAATCACAGAATAGTTGAGGTTGGAAGGGACCTCTGGAGATCATCTAGTCCAACCCTCCTGCTCAAGCAGGGTCCTCTAGAGCACATCATTGCACAGGATCATAGGTGGGTTCTGAATATCTCTAGAGGAGGAGACTCCACGACCTCTCTGGGCAACCTGTTCCAGTGCTCAGTCACCCCCACAGTAAAGTTTTTCCTCATGTTCAGGTGGAACTGCCTGTGTTTCAGTTTGCGCTCGTTGCCTCTCGTCCTGTTGCTGGGCACCACTGAAAATGATCTGGCCTCATCCTCTTGACACCCTCCCTTTAGATACTTGTACACATTGATCAGATGCCCTCTCAGTCTTCTCTTCTCCAGGCTCAACAGGCCCAGCTCTCTCAGTCCGTCTTCATAGGAGAGATGCTCCAGTTCCCTAATCATCTTAGTAGCCCTCTGCTGCATTCTCTCCAGTAGTGTCATGTCTTTTTCTGGATGAGGAAACGTAATGAGAAAAGCCTTTGGCCCTACCAGCTTGATCACAGGAGACACTGGTCACTGTTCTTTGCTGAAAGGCAGAGGATTGCATCCATGTTTGTCTTTACCTGTCCACGGCCCACCAGTCCCACAACATTGCTTTTGCTGATGAAGCACGTTGCTTCCAAGAAACAGATTAAACGGTAAGAACAGCTTGAAGTCTAGTGCACTCATGCTCCCACTTACAGATATTCCTCCCATGTGATGGACTTCACGCTGCTGCTCCAAGTACTCTTCACCCCCACTCCCACAGGCTCTCCCACTGTCACTGCAATTTCCCCCGCTAGCCAAAGGTAGATTGAAGCCTCACTTCCAACGCTGCTCTTACCTGCGCCTCTGCCTGGTCTCTTCTTCCTGGTCTCCACCACCACCGCTGGCTGGGGGATGGTAGGGGTGGGAGGAAGAGGGAGCGACTGAATATTAGGCTTATGCAAGTGTGACAGCAAGTGCGGAGACTTGGGAGGCAGCGGAGGAGGTGTGTCACCACTGCTCATAGCATTGTTAAAGGCCGGGGACGGTGGGAAGGAGAGCCTGTTTGTGGATTGGAAATATGCGGTGGGCAGAGGGGACGGCAGTGGGGGCGGGGTGGGCAGTGGATAATCCCTTATTTCAGGTAGAGAGGAAGGAGCAGCAGAGAAGTCAGTTGTCCTGCCTGGAAATCCACAGGGGGGCACGGGGGGCAAGGGAGGAGGTGGCGGGGGTGGGTGTGCAGCGGATGCTTGCAACTTGGTAGGTTTGTCAGCCTGAGGAGGAGGGAGGGGGGGCGGAGGAGCGGGGCTGGGCGCTATCCCCTTGGAAGGCCTTTCCACTGGAGGGGGAAGAGGTGGCGGAGGAGGGAAAGTGAGGGAAGAGTTGCTGGCAGTAGGAGGTGGTGGAGGAGGGGCAGGCAGGCTGGGCCGGGCCGGGCCGGGGCGCGCGGGGCTGGGCGGCTCTGGCAGGGCAGCTGCCTTTGGACCATCGGGCAGGTGCGCAGGGTTATTGCCTGCCTTTGCTGTGCTGTTTGGTGGGACTGAAGTCTTGGGAAGTGCTGCTCGGACCCCAGGAAGCTGTCCAAACCTCCCAGCTGGAAAACAGGTATTACACGTTACAAAAATGGCATCAGGATTTCATTCCGAGTCATCAGACAAGCAGCGCAAAAAGCAAACTCTTCATCTTTGTCTCCCCAGTGTTTACTCCGAAAGATCACACTAAGTTTGCTCTCAAAACAGCACGCGTCCAACAGGCAGTCCCTGGTGCGCTGGGCTTGGGAGGCAACGTGGGCACTGGGGACTGCAGAGCTGCTTCTGTCCTTGGCTATACAACAGCCTGCGGCGAGACCTTGCTCCCCTCACTGTTCCTCAGTTCCCCTTGAGTAAAAGCAACATGAAACGTTGCTTTTCTGCAGAAGCCTGAGGTTCTTTGTATCAGCCCATCTGACACTAGTAGGGCCAGCCGAACATGGAAGAATGCTTTGCTTGGAGGACACAAGAAACCCAGTGAAAAGGCCTCTGAGAACACAGGGAGATTGACACACATCAACATAGATACTTGCATCTTTAAAGTTAAGTACTTGCTTAAGGTTAAAATCACACAATATTACCTGAATTACCTCAGTCTCATGGATAAAAGCTCAGTTTTTAAAAGTACTAATGCACTAATACAGTGCCTAAAAGGCTTTCAAGAAGGCATAGGTTCAAATATTACTTCCTTTCAAACAGCAAACGAGGAAAGACTCTTGACCTTACATATTGTATTTGCCTATGTAAATGTCAAGGATTTTCTAGAAAACAAGATGGCAAAAAGGCAACTCATTCTATATTCACATATAGTCCTAGTACGCTCCTAGTTTAAGAACCCAAAGTAAACAGCTGAAGTTATGTGAGCAAGCCCAGTCACAAGCAGTGCTGAGCATCTCAGCCTTGTCTTCCAGAAAAGGAACACAAGGCAGAGCCAAGTTCTGCCTTTCCCTGCAAACATCTACTATACTCCGTGCTGCTCGAGCTGGTACCAGCTGCCCAACAGAGCGTGGGATCATTGCTGGGGCTTGAAAAGGTCACCCCTTAGGATGCTGGCCCTCCTTGACATGAAAGGAGCAGTTGGTCTCCCATATATGCCTTAGTTTTGTCTTTGTCCAGTGGCAGCTACCTTATTTTTCAGGTCAATAAATTACCTTGCTAGATCACAGCTGTACTTTATAAAATCCAGAGGGGAAGAATCCTAAATATAAATCTTTAAAATAGCATATAAACATGTAACATCATAGAAATACACACTAATGACGGGAAGGAAACGTGATTTATTGCCATCTGTGTTGAAGTTGATGAGCTCAGATTTCAATACTCTATTTGAGGCACAGTTAAAAGTTTCCATTAAACTAATGTAAAAAGTCTCCTTTAAAACAATGGAAAGTCTACTACATTTCTTTCTTACCTGGAGTACAGATAGCTTATTATTTACATTTTAAGAAAGAAGGTACCTGAGATCTAGAAAGGTTATTTCCAACTACATTATTAATTCAGTCTTCCATGGTCACAAGATGAATCAAGGGTTTAAGCAAAACAAAACACTAGAGTTATTGCAAAAGTACTTTTATTCCAAATCCCAGTTCCTCCTGGCTATTCTTCTTTTCATACAGAAGAAGCCCTTACCTGGCATGTCTCTCTGGCCTGCTGGTCTGAGAACAGGAAAGCCACCAGCAAATAAGCCCCCCAGAGGCTGCCGAGAACCGCTTTGGTTAATGGCTGAATTAACTCCATCTCTGTTAGTTCCTTTGGGTTCTGTTATAAAAAGAGGGTATAGCAGAAAGCCATTTCATCCTTGCTCTCAGACTACAGTGACTTAGCATATAACAACACAGCATTAACACACATAGCCAAGACCAGACTTTTTCCTTTTCAAACTGACTCAGCGAGAAAGTTGTTTTTGCTGCAACAAACTACCATTACTCCGACCAACAACGTCTTGGAGCACAGCACCCTCTGATGCTTTTTAATCTTACATCAATGATAGTACCAGCAAGAAGTTGTTAGACTACAATTGAAAATGGTTATCTCTCAGGTGTTCATGCAATTCCAAAAAACAGCAGGCAGTGACACAATACACAAAGTGTAAAAAAAAAAGCTACTGTTTCACTTAGAGAATCTCCCTCACCAATTGCAAAGCAATGGAATGCATCGTCCTCAATGGAGGCTGATAGGAAGAGGCTAGATGAAGCATCTGTCAAGAACGATGTAGGGTTTAGCTGATCAAACTTGTCAAGATCTTTCTAACCCTATCTTTCTGTCATTAGGTCAGCCCACCTAAGCGCTGTTCATTTGTGGACTGGATGCATATTACCACATATGCTCTTCCTCCTCTACCCACTACCCCCAAGATACCTTCCTTTAGCATTATCACACTAGAGGGGAAAAAAAAAAGCAATCTACCATTAGCAAGGTGCCTGGAAAAGGGCTTGGGTGAGAACAAACATTAAAAAAAAAAAGACTCTAGCAACTTCTATAATTTGTTAAAAGTTAATTTTCTCCCTAGTTTTAAATGATGGGTAATTTGATAAAACATATATTCCTAACTAAGAGAGACTTATGTCAAAATAAACACTCTCACTTTAAAGGAATTAAACTTAGGCTTCTAGGATTTGGCATCTTTTATTCTTTGTATCTAGTAAGGAACAACTCTTCTGCCTGAGCTAACAATTCCCTGTTTAAACATTTATTTCATTGAGAAATTCTCATGGGTTTCATCATTAATGGACTTTTTTGAACACGGAATGGCTGTTAAGGTGATATCCAATTATGGACTTACTCTGAACTGTTAATAGTTTTTTTTTTTATCTCGGAGTGGGATGTAAGATTAGAAAAGTAAACTCTCCTCTCTGTACCTCCTAAAGTAATATGAAGATGCTGACTTTTGATGCACTTCAAGCCTGCCCTTCATGTTGAAAATACTCCAGCTGACCTCCCCAACAGACTTCAGCACAGCTCTCCCAGGGACCTTTCCCAGCACTACACACTTACTTTCAATCTGTGGTGCACTTCGGTCATTGATTTGAGTCACTTTTCTTAAGCGAGTCCCTTGCTGGATATCAGCTAACAGCGCATTTCGTGCTTTTTGGTCTTCCTTTTGCAATTTTGGTAGTTCTGAACTTGTCTGTTGAAGAGAAGAGCATTAGACAGGAGGCACGGATGAAAATAAATGCTGAGAAAAGACACATAAATGAACTTGGTATAGAAAATATGAAATAAACCATCCCTGGCAGCTGTCATTGTAAAACCTTTAGATCCAGTCAACAAGAACAGCTTCAGTGCAGGAAACCTGAAAGTTTAAAAATAACACCAATCTACTACTAGTTGTGTTAGCATTAATTAAAAGAAATTAGGAGATAAGCTTAAATGAAATCTCACCTCACGCTTAGCCAGCTTTGCTTTTTGAACAACTAGGTCTCTCCCCTACAACTCTAGCTCTGCTTGCCTATCTCTTTAGTTCTTTCCATTGTATTTATAGTGCTTTACGACAAAGATTTTATATGCCACCTTAGAACAAAAATATTTCTGTTTTACCCATTTGTCCTTATGGAAAAAAGACGGCTAACTGCATGCTGCATTTATATTCGAATATTATCATTATGTAATTTAGACTGTCTCACTGTATTCAGAACTTTAAGCAGACTGTTTTAGAGCAGGACAATTATATTCTAATAGCTTTTCTAGCCTAGATAAGCTCCATAAATGGAAAGGCAGGTTGTAGTTTACAGTTTTGTAATAAAACCAAAACATATGTTTATTCTTTAGTATTCTCTTATTTTATCAGGTTTCTTATTATAAACAAACAAATCAGAAGTATATGCTGCTTTCAAAAGTTTTGCTTATCTTGAAGCAGATAACCAACAAAGCTGTTATTTCCAAACCTATCATATGGCTAACAGAATGGTCTAAAAACAGCATGAGAATCTTGACATCACAGGTGCAAGATGCTGCATGTTTCCATATATACAACAAATTCTTATAGGTTACCTAATTGTCCTAAAAAGAACAAATGGCAGAAATGTTTCTATAAGCCTTAATTTTAGCATCATAGTCATAGTAAAGTAGAACAATACTTTAAAGTAGAACAATGTTTTAAAGCAACAAAAACCCCACGTTGGTAATAGCATTACGAAAGTAAAACAGCTTGAAAATACTTACCAGCTACTGAATTAATAAAATGTCTAACCTTCTAATCTTAAAAGAAAAATTATACTGTTATGATATTGCTTGTGGTTATGTTTGTACTAGGTTAAAAAAAAAACACACACACAAACCAAAACACCAAAATCGATTTGCACAGATCCACTAGATGGCACTCCAGATTGTTACTAATGCCAGCTGCATTCCTGACACCTGATGTAAAACCTCTGAATTATAATCTTGTGACTGATACTATAACCATATCTCATTTAAGAAAATATTAAAAAAGAATGTCCTGTTATATAGTTTCCTACTTTCTGAAACAGTGCTACCTGCGCTTGTGCTCTATAGACAGCAAATATGAATTCTCATTATGACAACTTTGAAATGCTGCATGGTATAAGCAACATTAGACTAAGTACAAGCCAGAAACTATTTTCATTCCTATTTTCTTTAAGTTTACAATACTTACTGTGAAAAATGGAAACACCATAACGGGAGCAAAGATAACTTCCTTTCTCATAAAAGCCTTTTACCAGTATCTAGAACCTCACGTCTCTCTATTTGCACGCATGAGTTTACCGTACCACGACAATCAGCATCTAGAGGGATCTGATCAAGACCTAGGTTTAAAATTAGATGCAGCAGCTGTGTTTTTGTTTCCGGGCTCAAGTGTCCGTATATTATGCCAGCTGTCCACTTCGTCTCCTCAGCCTATTTTTCTGAGCAGGTAGGATATTGGAATATAAAAATTCTTAATATGCAAATAGCTTTTAGACTAAAGTACACCATTTGCGGCAGCTTATATTTGCAAGTCACCCTTGACTTGATATCAGTCTAACAGGAGGAAGATATTAATTTGTTCATGATTTTTAACATTAAAAAAAAGAAGAAACACTCTATTCTGTAAACCCAGAATGCAATGAAATAAGTAGTCATCATCTTAAGACAGATCTCCTTTCTTCAAATACAACCCTATCCCATGCCCCAGCTGTTTCTTCTTCCTCCCAGTGTATGTAAGAGATACAGTCTGCTGTGCCCAGCCTGGTGGACTCAGGTGATTGATTAGCTGCTGAGTAGCTTGATACGGATTCTCTTTTTCCATTACAAAGTCAAGATGGTCTGGGGTGTAATGTTGCCTGGTTGCACACGAGTCAAAGCTCCTAGGGATTGCTTGTTTATTGCCCACACTTTCCAGACCTGTGACAATTTAGGCCAAGAAGCCTTTCACCAGGTAAGTATCCCACTGGCTCATCTGTTGGTGTCCTGCCTTTGCCTTTACCAGACTGCTTTGTGATACGCGGTCAGAAAGGAACTCTCCTTTCTTTGATTAATCTAGGATTCACACTCATGTTATGTGTGAAATCCATAGCACAAGAACAGATAATAAACAAGTTGTGTATCAAGAAAAAATTAAAGAGAGGAACTCCTATGGGAGCTAAGTCTTCAATCCTAATCATATGAAAGAGCTGCATTTAAGAAGATAGATAGATATATTTGGAGTCATAGAGGAAAAACAGCTGTAAGACAAAGACTGTAATTCCTGGAGAACTTCCGACTCCCATCAATAAAGGCAGTGGCATTTATTTACAGGAAAGGAAACAACTCAGTCTTTCACTGCAAGTCAAAAGGGAAGCAGAGAAGAACGTGAAGATCATTTGCTTTACCAGATGCCAGAGCTGCCTCAGGTAACACACAGTGAAGTTAAATACCGTACTTTATTCCATACATACTGATCACATGAATCAGAAAGGGAACAGTGGGTTTTGCTTTTCCTAAGTATCCATGACCTTATTCTGCTACTATTTCAAACATAAAGAATGACATATTTAATACATGCTTTAAAACAGAATGGAACATATCACACATGTAAATAGCCTGAATAGATGAGAAACACTTGCCTTTCCATATCACTTATTTAATATTCACTATTTTTGTCTTCAGTGTCCTAAAATCACACTCTCAGCTATGCCATTAAGTAAAGTATAGGCTCAATGTTTTAGTTACATGACAGACCTCCAACGTACTTGTCAATATGAAAGTACCATCAAATCACAAAATTCTGAGTAATATTACAAAGTATCAACCATCAATGACCAGGAAATAAACGTTTCAGCATTTGCAGGTGATAATGAAAACTGGCGGAATAATGAATAATAAATAACGAGAGATCAGAGTCACTGCAACTTGAGGCCGCTTAAAATACAAAAACAAACTAATCAAAACACACTCCCTCAACACTGGAGGGAAAAAAAAAAAAGATACACATGTGATACACATGCCAAACACTAAGCTAAAAATTAGTTGATGAAAAATTCAGGCCATACCTCTGAAATGAAAGCCTGCATCCAGAGTGCCACAAGTTCTCAATTTGTCAATGGGCTCTAGCAATGAGAGGGGATGACCAAATCAGCCTGAACTTCTAGCACAGTGCTGTGGCAAGGAGGGACAGCATACTCCTCAGACGTATATTATATTTACAGAAAAACAATCAGAGCAAAATCGGAACAACAGTTTCAGTTCCGGTCTCCAGATTTGAAAAAGGATGTCGAAAACCTGGAGGTGCACAGAAGAGAGCCAAAGTGAGACTCAGAAAACTGGAGCAAACCGTTCAGAATTTAGATGCTCATTGTGATCAGTTGGCCCTGAAGAAAGTCTGAGGGCTGACCTGACTGTAGAACGTACAAACCTTTACAGGGGACATGGAAAGTACTAAGAGTCTGTTAACTGAGCATAAAGACATTTTGTTAATTAATGTAAAATGCAGCCAGGCAAGTTCCAATTAGAAAGCAGGTAAATAAGTAAGCAGTAAAGGTGATTATCCCTTGGAGCAAACACTGAGGACCTATTTCCTGGTTTTCAGAGAAAGGCTGGATCCTTTCTGGAAAAGATGCTTTCTGTGAAGCACAAGCCATCAGGCCCCATTTAGAGTAACCTGCCTGAGGCTCAATACCATGCAATGGTGAGGTAGTCAGCGTTGTTATAATAGCCCCTTGAATTCTGAATTCTGTGCAAGTGAGTGATTTTGTCCAGCAAGACACAACTCTGTTTACATGGTGTATACAGACCATCCAACGCTTAGGCCCCAACTAATCTCAGTCTTAATACCCTAAACTGGGCTATATCCGACAGAAATTCAGAGCTGAGAGGCTTTGTTAAAGAAAATGGAGTAAAATCCATCACAGTCAGCTACGTTTCTGGGGACGTTACTGGCTGTATTATTTGCATAACCTTGGGAAAGTCATTTTACAACTTGCAAAATGGGTACGAGCACTGATCTACCCTCTGGACTACTCTGATACTTAAAATATTTGAGAAGTACACATGCTCAGATTCTAAATTGATGTAAGCGCAACATGCTTTTGAAAAAGCCCACAACAATATTAATTATAGAGAAGAACTACATTATTATCATCTTTCGGATTCTAAAGAGCAGCCCTGTACACAGAAAAGGGGGAATCCTCCATACTCCATGGAGGTGGTTCAGATCACAATGGACGCCTAAATACTCCCATGAATGGGATGGATATGTCTGCTCTAATTTTTAAATAAGTTCTTTATTGAATTTGCTAGGTAATTTGAGATAGTGTAGATTTTCATAAACATGACAGTAGCAGCAAAAAATGTACCCCCAGCCTGCTGGACAATCCAGCATCTAGGCAGTCATGGATCTTTGTTTCAGAATAAACTCATCAGCCGATAGGAAAAGAGGATCCAGTACTCTATGACTATAACAGGTAGGAACCATAAATAACGTAAAATAAGACATGATTCCATCCAAAGATATTCTATATATTCTCTTTTACTTAATCACTTTACAATCCTAATGTGTAATGAATTATATCATCATTGTGGATTCCTTTTCCTGGTCACTTTTTACAGTTAATAATGTAAGTAGAGCTGTCTAGAAAATTTACTTATTTGAACTACTTAGTTAATTTGAAATACTTAAAAAAAAAAAAAAAAGGAGGAAGTAAAAATATA